CCTGCACTGAGCAGCCTGGTGTGATGCCTGCTCCTCGCTGCCAGGGCTCTCAGGGAGGAAGGGCTGCAGAGGAGCTCTCTCCAAGCTCTCAGAGACAATCAGACCAGAATAACAAGCTCTTTTAACAAAGTAGAGAAGTCATTTCTGGCATTTGAGTTTAACAACATAGACCATGAGCAACCACTTAGGACTAGAAACAGGGGGAAAAAAAAATGTCAATCTTAATAAAACAAAAATCCTGTGATGGGAACAGAGCTTCTAATGTAATCTGTATTACTGAGCACAGGGCTCATTAAACACTTACCAAGGCAGGATTTCTGCACCTGGCTTGGCTGCCACGATTCTCCACGCTGCCAGCCCTCTCCGTGCTCCCAAGTTCGTGCTCTGGAGAGATCTGGGATGCCATTTCAGGAGAATCCGAGAGGAGATTTCTAGGCATCACACTTCCTTGGCTCGTCAGTCCCGATGCGGCACTGAAATCCATCAGCGTGTTACGTGGGGCTGGTGGCTTTGTTCATGTCTGGGAACAGAGAACAGTGTGGCACCTTTAAACCTGCTGGTTAAAAGACTTGAAAAGGAACAGAAAATAAGTGGTAAAGAAAGATCCCACACAAGCTAATAAAGAGCTTATCTTTATGCTCTGGAGCACATCTACCACTTACGGGCACCTTTTTAAAAAACTGTTTTATTCAAAAGGTGTGACTTAAAAAAACCAAACCAAACCAAACCAAACAAACAAACAAAAAAAAATTGAAAGAAAGATTCTGTGCCCCATATCTTGTGTGCTTCCAAACCAGATGTATACAGGTAGCTACAAGCATGGACCCTGCATACATTTCTACTACAGATCCAGTTTGTGTTTTCCAGCCTGACACATCATTAACAGTGATAAAATCCCACTGGCTGAGATATCAACTGGCCCAGCTCAAGTAGCTTTATTGACTTTTACACGAGAATTCTATTTATTGGATCACACCAGGGAAACAGAACCCAGTTCAGTTCCTATCACTGCTGCAGATAACTCACATGTTCCTGAAGCAGCTCTGTGCCACCTACCCCTGGTGAAAGATCCACGAGCAGAACTTGGTGCCGCTTTTGCACCAACGCGTTACAAATTGCATTTTAAAGCTTAAAGAGCTTCTATTTCATTCAGCCATGAAGAAACAGCACTTGTACATTTGGAAGACACTTACTGGAACAGACATATGCACCAGCACTCACTGCAGCAAAAGCCCCCAGGTTTTTAAGCTACCCCAGTGCCCAGTTCTGTAATCCCATTCTGAATTGTCGACATCTCCCAAAACACTCCGGCAGAACTTTTTCCTTTACTCTCAAGGACACAAAGACAAAAGTCATCTCAGTGCACTAACAGCATGAAGAGGGGGTAGGCAAGGAGTAGAAGCCAGCTCATTTCTCACTCCGATACATTAAGACATCCTTTGCAACAAGAAATGGCCTTGTTTTTTAGCAGTCCATCTTTTCCCCCGCCCTGCCCGTGACCCGTGAACAGCAGCGACACGTTCCTCAGAGCAGCTGGCACCACGTCAGACACAGCCAGCTGGGAACTGGATACCACCACCCCGACACGGCACAAACGAGATGAGACGGTCCTGCTTCCCAAGTGCTGCTCCCTTTATTGTGGTTCGAGAGGCGACACGAGAAGCAGAGCCCAGCCTGCATTTCCAATTCAATGGGATTACTTCTCCTGGCTCCCCACCGCTGTGGGCCGAGGGCTGGGAAACCAGAGCCTTCTGGTGAGCTGATTAGTGTTTCATAGCAGTGAGATAACATCTGCCAGCACTGAGCAACAATTCCATCCCGCTGATCGCCTCCTCCCAGGAGAGGGCTATGACATTACCAGGGGTGCGTCGCCTACGCCGCAGCACCAACAGTGTGTCCTGTGGGAAAAGCTCCCACACAATGCAGCCAGGCTGCACTCCACACACTCTTGGAAGCACATCCACAATCCACAGCCCCGGATTGCCACAACAAAAGTATCGGGTAGCCTTTCTTGTGAACATTAGGTCCTAACGATCGAGAGTTCGCAGTGCTTTTACACAAAAGGAACCTTCTTCCTTCCCTCTGTTAATAACTTTGGCTATAAATAGATACAAAGCACCCTCAGGATGGGCTTTAAGTGATGACGCAGAGGTAGAAACACGCTCGTGGTCCTGGTTTTGACACCTGCAGGACAGACGGACGTGGGAGCACTGAGGCAGCCGCTGCATATCCAGGCAGAAAGATAAGTGGGAAAAGAGCAGCCCAAGCCTAGAACACATCCTGCAACAGCAGCTCCATCTACAACAAACCCTGTGGTGCTGAACAGCCCCACATGAACACCCCCACACAAGAAAACAGGTCATTTTAGAAGCCAACATTATCAGTGAAAATCTCACCCCACTGAAATCCTACACAAACACACAAATATATATAATTTTAAGAAGAGAAGACTATCAGAAAAAAATCTAGACACCTCTGAAACTCCCACTGACTTCAGATTTCATCACCTATGACTTTCAAGGTGATGTTCAGATGGAAAAGAAGGACCAGCAAGAAGTGAGTACTCCTACTGACATCCAACATAAGGCAAACACTATTTATTTCTCATCAGCACTTTTAAGCTGCAGCACCCATTTTTATCCAAGTGTCCCCCGTATAAACTGAACATACCATGTCTGTTCAGTCCCTCAGTGATGTGTTACAGACCACTGGATTTCTAGATTTATACTCACAACTGCGAACATTTTATAGACCACATTATAAGAGGTCATAGCTGCAGATTACAATAGATATCGTAGGCAAGATCCACATTTGAAGACTAACCACATGCAGATATTAATCCAAGTTACCAAGAAACCAGTCAACAGGCCCAGACTTTGAAGGAGAAGTATTTAAGAGTGTTGTCCTTTCTCCAACAGCAAGACCTTGTATAACCAGGACCAAGTTTCATGCTGGGCTATCTTTATCCAGGACAGCAGGAACACCCACGCTCAGCAGTAATAAACTTTAAAGCCACAGGTTCTAAATAGCAACAAATAACTCTGCTTCCAGCAAGCTCCCATTATTCATCCAGGAGCTCCAGCTCAGATGTTTCACTAAGCTCCTGAACAATGACTAAAGAAAGGCAGGGAGAGAGACTGGATCAGAGAGCTGCCCAAACAAGAGCCAGGACCAGGAATTACAGCCCCAGTCCTGCTTTTGTGTTGGAAGCTGTGGCTTCTTTGGGGGTTTTACTCATTTTAGAAGAGCTTGGGAGCTGTGCAATAGAAAGGGTGTGGGGGAAGATCCTTTTCCCTTTTTATCTTTCACATCATCTTCAACACTTTCAAGGGTGCGTGCCATTAAGATCATAACCCATTCGTATACATTATTTCTTCTCCTCTTTCCTGTTTTGTTTTGGGTTTTTTTTTTTTTT